AAAAAAAAAAACAAAAAGACAAAAAAAAAAAAAAAAAAAAAAAAGGGTAAATTGTATGGTATGTAAATCATATCTCAATAAAGCTGTTTTTCAAAAAAATGTCCACCCATCTCCTTTCCTGTTGTCTCATATGCACTCACACACTTGGCTCCAGCTACTAGACCGAGACAACTCCCTGAACTAGCCCCACTCACTCACCTCCGGGCCGTCACCACTGCGTCTGTGTCCTCAGAATGCTCGTCCCCCTGCCCTTCCCGAGTCCTTTAGGATTGGCTTAGACCCATCTCAGTCTTCCTCTAAGAAGACTGGGTGGGTGCTCCCGCTCTGGCATCGAGAGCCCCAGCAGCACTTTCACACTGTGTGTTGCCAGCCTGTCTCCCTGTGGATGCCCCACAGCAGGAGGCTTGTCCTCACACTGCAGCCCAGGGTCTAGCCCAAAGTCTGGTAGACACTCAAAAACCACCTGTCCAATGAAGGAGGAGAGGAAGAGGAGCAGAAACCACATATAAGACCCTCATTCCTAAACAAACTGGTTGGGCCAGTTTCTAAAAGATAACAAATGAGACTTGCATCCACCTTCAGCAATCCCTATTGCGGCTAGCTGCACACACCACATGGTTTTGGAGCACATGGGAGCTGCATTTCTGCCTAGTATTACCTTTCTGCTACCAGGTGGAGCTGGGTCAAAGATTCGGGTCTGCATCTCACTGGGAAGAGCAGAGTACACTGGGAGGATAATCAACTCTGGAACATCAGGTCCCAGGGATTTCATTCTTTCATATAGGATTTCGCAAGCAGTATCGATCTCTTCCTGACCAGTCAAGAAGACCAGGATATCACCTATGAGGAGAATGGAGCATTAATTTACTTCCTAACTGTGTGTGTTCTATACAAAGACTACAGCAATATTAACAGACTTCCAAATAACAGAAAATACACATTCATATTCTGATCTCTAAATAAACCAAGAAAGTATATCTATCCATGTTTAAATAGGTGCATTTAAACCCTGCACACCATAATTTATATTTTTACTACCACCGTTTCAAACATGCAAGCCTGAGACTTACAGAGAGCCCAATATTTAAAAGGCATTTCTTAGAAGATTAGCAAAAAAAGATACTCTTATTAAGACTTTTGGCCTAATAGAAAAAAAAAATGCTCTTTTCCCTTACCTGGTGGCTCTGTTAAATGAATCTGCATGACAGTGATCAGACTGGCATCCAGATAATCTGTCTCAGGTTCCTTTGTGTACAGTATTTCCACTGGATATGTTCGACCCGGGATGGTGAAGATGGGAGCTTCATAGAAGTACTGAGAAAATTTCACTGCATCCAAGGTGGCTGAAGTGACAATCAGCTTCATGTCCTGCCGCTTCTGAACCGTCTAAAGGGAAATGCAATGTGGCTTACCAAAAAGGGCCAACCAAAAAGGTACAAGTACTCAATTCCAATTCCCAGAATTCAGTTTTCAACAGATAGAATGGTCACAAAAGAGTGCCTCGTTACCTTTTTCAACAATCCAAAAAGCACATCAGTGTGAATCGTCCTCTCGTGTGCCTCGTCCAACATGATGATCGCATACTGGGTGAGGTCAGGGTCAATCAGACACTCTCTGAGCAACATCCCGTCTGTCATGTACTTGATGACTGTTTCAGGGCTGGTGCAGTCCTCGAATCGAATGGTGTAGCCCACCTAAAGCAGAATAGAAGTGAAAAAACTAGGACATGAACCTCTCCTTTTTGCAATCACCAAGCTAAATTTCTACCCAGTCAGACCATTACTCATAATCTTAATAGGTAAGAATTTAACAAAGACTGACAGTAATTTCCTCATAGTAAACTCTGCCTTCAACTTGACCCTTAGCAAATGTATGATGACAGTGAGAAACCTCTCTCCCTTACGGGAGAAAATAGTAGTAGTATTCCCATTTTACAGATAAAGAGATCCAGGTCTTTGTATTTTTCTTCTGGCATTCCCAGTACAGCTTCGCTATCCACTTACCTCTTGGCCTAAGCAACAACCAAACTCCTCCGACACTCTTTTGGCCACCGACATGGCTGCCACTCTTCTGGGCTGGGTACACCCAATCTTGCCCCTGGAAGTGTAACCTGCCTCTGCCAGGTACTGAGTGATCTGGGTTGTCTTCCCAGATCCTGTCTCTCCAATCACAATCAGGATCTGATTGTCATGGACAGCCTGAGGGCAACAAAATACAAATATGTAAATAAATATACATATAAATATGCAAATATGGTCATTAAAATTTGCCACACATTACTTTGGAGTGAAACAATTAATGCTTATATTCTGTAACACTAATTGAGAAAAAGGGGTCATACACACACAGATAAAGAATTCAAAAGTAAATTTAAAAAGATACATAAAGGGGCCGGCCCGGTGGCGCACTGCTACAGCGCGCCGCTTGGGAGCGTGGCGGCGCTCCCGCCGAGGGTTCGGATCCCACATACAGACCCGTTCCTGCTCACTGGCTGAGCGAGGTGTGGGCACAACACCGAGGGTTGCGATCCGTTGCCGGACACGAAAAAAGACAAAAAGGAAAAAAAATATAAATAAATAAATAAATAAAAAGATACATAAAAATTGTTCCTTTCCATGGCCACTTCCAAATCTCCAGTACCTCTCCCACAAAAGTTATCTTATTTCTTATTTCCATAGTTTGTAACAACAGAGGATTGCAATCAACCTACACGTCTAATAATACAGGACTAGTTAAATAAGCCAGAGCAGATACACATGACAAAGTACTAAAATGGCACTCAAAAGAAAAAAAAATAAAAAAGGACTAGCCTGTTAGCTCAGTTGGTTAGTATGGTGCTGATAACACCAAGGTCCAGGGTTTGAACTCTGTACCAGCCAGCAGAACAGTGTATATAATACACTGCCATATACAAACACACACAGAACACATATAAAACATACATGTGTGTATGCATACATATACATTTATACTTGTTGATATAAATATATGATATTGTTGAAAGGATTCACTGAAAACTAGTAAACTAGTTGCCTCAAGGAAGGTTTGGTGTTCTTAAAACCAGAACTCCAGAATATGGAAATGAGTACCTGAAGCAAAGTCCTTGCCTATATGGATTCATTGGCCAAGTGTCCCCATTTTCAGTTACTGATCAGAGCTGTTGATCCACGCAATACAATACTCTACCCACCTGGAACAGCTCTATGGTCACCCAATCCAAAAAGATTTATTACCTCATAGGAAAAAAAATTTGCACACTAATATACCTTTTTTTAAAGGTACTTGGAAACATTTTCTGTTTTTTTCTTTATCCCTTTTGGAAGAACCACTTCAAATATGCACATACCTGTCCAGCTATTTCAATTTTAAAATCTCATCCTTCTTTAGAAAATACCATTACTCTTCCACCAATTTTTCATGAAAGGGCTTCTCACCTGGACCAGCTGCTCCTTCAGTTTGTAGATGGGCAGGCTCTCCCTCTGCTCAATGATTGACATCTGGGTCTTTTTTCCATAAGAAGCTTTGTTGCCCCCAAAGGCATGTTTCTTCCACTCGGGAATGTCATTGGGCATCATCCCAATACCCCTCATGTTGGCAGCAATCTGCCTACCTTCCGCTGCAAAGGAAAACAGGCAACTTAGTATTGTCCTCCAGATGTCCCCAGGGCAAAAAAAGGAAATGGCAGGTGGGCACCACACATGTCTCAGTGCAGTCCGATCTTTGCCCAAGGGCACTCAGAGAAACAAATTAATGTGAAGAAAAGAATACAGTCACCACAAAAATGGTAAATTTTTGCAATGATGAATCTGCTAACTACACTGACTTGATCACTACTCACTGTATACAGGTATTGAAATATAGCTCTGTACCCCATAAATATGCACAATCAGTACATTTCAATTAAAAAATAAATAAATTTCCTTAAATGAAAAAAAAAGAAAAGAAAAGAATACAGAAGTGGCAGTAGGGGCAGGAGAGGGAAAGAGACCTTAACAAGTGGTGCTGCCCACCTGTGATGTCTCCTGATAGAAAAAAGGTTAGATCAGAGAAATGAAGATCTGATCATTTGACCCTAGGATTCTTTTTTTTTTTTTTTAAATAACTGTGACACTGAGATGTAATTCATATCCCATGCCACCCTTTTCAAGTGTCCAACTCAGTGGTTTATTGTATATTCAAAATTGTGCAACCATCTCCACTACCTAATTTTAGAACATCTTTATTGCCCCCAAAACAAACCCCATACCTGTTAGTAGTCACTCTCCGTTCCCCTGGCAACCACTAATTTACTTTCTATCTCTGTGGGTTTACCTGTTCTGGATATTTCATACAATATGTGCTCTTCTGTGTCTGGCTTCATTCACTCAGCTTAATGTTTTCAAGGTTAATCCTGGAATTACGGCTTGAGTAGGGAGCAAAAGAACGAGCAGAATTTTACTGCCTCTCTAGAATACGCAAATAGTTTATAAATTTGACGGCAAAAGACAGCTATGAAAATATACTTGGGCTGGCCCGGTGGCGCACTGCTACAGTGCGCCGCTTGGGAAGCGTGGCGGCGCT